CTGCTACAGATTCAAAGAAGGTCTTGAGTCTGTAAAGCATAAAGGGATCGGCTACCAGAATTTTCTGTTAATTCATTATACACCCAGGCACACAGATGTGCTAAGGAAATATGAAAAGCTAAGCTTGAAGACTGCTAAGGATGCCAGGGTGGCTTAGCAGGGTATTCTGAACAGGTCAGTGTCATGACTAAGATATCCCTTGAGGAACACTATCTCCAGTCAAAGGAAACTTACCTAGGTGGCCACATCCTCATTGGCCACAGTTGACTAAACCTTTGGTAAGTGTCAACACTGGGGCTCTGTAGTCCTCATCTTTTAAGATCTAGTTCCAGGGTTACCATTTATAGAAAGCTTTCCCTAACAGTTTATGCCAGTAGGATCAATCTGACTTAGATGGGGTTGTGATATGATGGGAAGGAGCGAGCAGGCAGAGGGATAGCCTGGTTATTCCATCCACACCCAAGACACTAGTTGTCATGGAAAGGACAAGGGTAATAACAGTGCAACATTTATTGAACACTCATTTTGTGCCAGGCATTAAGTTTAACATTTCTCATACATGATCTCTTCTGATAACTCATTAAGGAAGAAATGATTATTTCCCCAATTTTAGACATGAAGAACCTGAAGCTTTATGTAGTTTAGTGACTTTCCACGCCGGAGGCAAGCACAGATCTTGTTGCTTCTAGTCCCATGCCCTGAAACCACCCCCTACCCAGCCTCACCATTAGTGGGTGACTATGCCATTGTGGCACCTGAGCTGGGAACGGCTCTGCAGTTCAGTAGAAACATGTTCAGCATGAGTGTGGCATTTTTGTATGCATTCCTCATATTTATTTGGTTATTTAGACCGGATTATTTCAAGTTGTGAAACATTGCTCTTGCTTAGTTAATAGCAATTCATTTGTTTCACGATTAAAAGATTATTCTTTTACATTTACACAACATATAATTAAAGAAAGTCCTGTTGCAGTACTATAAGACCCAGGACCATATGATAAACATTTGAAAAACCTTTGGTATTTTTTAAATGGCCAGGTCATTAATTGATCCATTCAAATACCCCTTATGTTGTGGGTGAGTAACAGTACAATCTATACAGGGAGAAGTTAAAGAGGCCCTAGGAGATTAACATGTACCCAGGTTCCCCACTGAAAAAGAGAATGCAGGCTCAGAATACAGCATTATTAACCAGTTCCTTGGTACTAAAAGGAAGTGACCCCTGGAGTATCTACATACATTACAAAATGGTTTCAATACTTGAACTATATGATCTTTGGAGTTAGATTTACAGACAATTCAACGCTATCCTCAATACTTCCAATCTATAATTTTAATGCTGGTAGATTTCCATCAGTTAGTTCATTCAACATATATTTATTTTGTAACTAGAGGCCTGGTGCACGAAATTCGTGCACTTGGGGGAGGGTGTCCCCAGCCTGGCCTGTGCCCTCTCACAGTGCAGGAGTCCTGCGATAGATCTCCCCAAAGAGGTAGGCCCCGCCCACTCATCCGGGGCTCCTCAATGGATTGCCACAAAGAGGTAGGCTGGAGCTGGGGGTCCCAACCCCAGTGTCGCCACACTGAGCCTTTGGGCCCTGCCTCCCCGGCGTTGTCGCACGGAGCCAAGGGGCCCTGCCTTCGCGGCCCCGCCCACACTCACGCGCCTGCTGTGCACGCAGCCTCCTGATGATGGATTGTGATGGCGTGAGGGCATCATGGCATGAGGGAGTGATGACCACATAGGCTTTTATTAGTACAAATTATCATGTGTAGACAATTGGGTTCCATTCTGGAGACCCTGGGCAAGACAGAACTTACATTGGGAGGTGCAGACAATTATGTGGGGCTGATGAGAGCTGCGCAGGACACACGCTGAAGAAGTGGGAAAGTGGGATGTAGCTGGGATGCATGAAGCGTATATCTGCTAAAAGAGCAGTTTTGCTGTCCCAGACTATTTTCTACCAGTTACCAGGACCCAGGACCCTGCAGATCAGTGGTTCTCAAACTTTGGTGGATATAAGAATGACCCGGAACCTGGTAAAATAACAAGGCTCAGACCCTGCCTCAAACAGAACTGGGCCTCTGTGGTCTTCATCAGCTCTCCAGTAGATTCTGACAGGGGCCTATGTTTCAGAACCACTGCTATGGACCAATACCCACCGTTTCACTGGATATAATCCAACAGGTGTGACAGTTTTTTCTAAGTTTTCTTTCTGGAATGGGGAATCAGACCTGCTACAGGATATTTGATTTCAAGAGACTATGGCTTGTTTGAAGCTGAATTACTTGAAGTGGAAAAATACAATTTTATATCTCTTTTCATGTTGGTTACCTTGCCCCTGACCTGTATCTTTGGTTTATTGCACTCATTTTCTTTGAAGTTGCTTTCTGAGTAGAAAACATTTTATTGAAAAGTGCTCTTATGAATTCAAGATGTGGGTTTAAGTAGGAAATACCTGCTCCAAAACAGAGACAAATACTTGACGGAAGACAAACATCTGTTTGAGGGGGAATCTCATTTCTTGTTTCTTTGTTGCTTTTCTATTACCATTGAATTGAGACAGGGTTTCTATCCAAGGTTTCCATTCATGATTATGTGACTTAGGGGAAGTTGCTTAGCCTTTCTGTGCTTCAGTTTCCTCATCTGTACGATGAGGATGGTGATAACAATGATATTACCTACCTCACAGGGTTGCTGTGATGATTAACTGAGTTAACACAAGAAAGTACTAGAACCAGAACCTAGCAAGTGCTAAATAAATGTTCCTGCTGTTATTTTTTCCCCATCATATCTTTTAAATGTCTCATTACTCCTTGTGTACCCTTGTTTCCTTTCTGGATTATGTTAAGGCTAAAGACCAATGGTTTCTGTCAATACTAATTTAAAAAGAATAGGGGCCTCCTAAATGACTAAAATGAAATTAAACTAGCATCACAGTTACTGCCAATAGTTTTTATCCTATATAATAAAAACCCAGCGACTGAAATGGCGGAACGACCAGAATGACCAGAGATCAGAACGACCGCAGCCCCTTGCCGTGGCCAGCCCCAGCCCCCACTGGGGACCCCCACCCCAATCCGGGGCCCCCATCAGGGCAGGCTGGCTGGCCTCTACCCGTGCACTGGGTCTCTATCCTATATAATAAAAGGGTAATATGCAAATTGACCCTAACGGTGGAACAACCAGAATGACTGCTCGACCAGTCACTATGAGGCACACTGACCACCTCTTGGTCCCTTTCCCTGGCCGGCAGGCTCTGATCCCCCAGTGGGGAATGGGGAACCGGGGGGGGGTTGGCAGCGGGGGGGCGGGACCGGCTGCGGGCAGCCGGGGAAGATGGCCCTCATCACAGGTCAGGCCTAGGGACCGCACCCATGCACAACTTTCATGTGCTGGGCCTCTAGTAAACATATAATGCTTAGAAACTGGGGATTAAAGTTGAGGAAAGAACTTAATGTTAACTAAGGGTAATGCACGTCAAAATGGTGGGTCAAAGGTCACCTGTATTGGTTCCCCAGAACTTCCCCAGAGGAGCCCAGCAATCTCCTAGGAGATATGCCTTTTTATCAGAGCCACACACAACTCTCTTCCCTTCCCAGGACATGTCTGAAGGGACCAGGTGAGAACCATGTGTAGACTGTGTGTAGAGTGGGGATAGGGGATTGCATCTGTGGTGGAACTTCATTTTCAATAAGATGTCTGTCTTTCCATTTTGGATATTGCAGGCTAATATGCAAATTCTTCACCCAAATGCTTTCTGCCTGTCTGACTCCTTCAGGATCCTTGTGGTCCCACAGACACAGTCCTGAGAACCTGCTCTTAGGCAGGCCTCTAAGCACTCTCGGCTCTCTCCTTTCTGGATGTTACCAAAGAGCCCAGGTCTCCCTCCCCTCAGCTTTCCTTATCTGTCCCCAGCATCACTGCAAAGCCCTCCACTCCTGCTCTGCCACCCACTTTAATTCTTTGTTCTCTTTACAACCTCGTTTCTTCTTTTAAAGATGTAAATTTCTT